GTATCGGCAAGTACCTAAATGTAACTACTGTGGTTTCTGTGCATCCTTATTCCAAACTACTAGAATTTGTCATGATTTTCATTGTCATCGGCCACTTTGCGGGTATACATATTGTGTTTCCTGGAAAATAGTGCATCTCATAAAAAACAGCTCTTCATATAGTCTTTATTATTCAGCATATACTCCCACACAATAAAAACAACTCTCAGGTTATTGCTAATATTTGCACAATTCAAATAGCAAACAGCAGCAGTGAGGGCCGACAAATCCCCACAACACACACCGTGTCCGACTCTTTAAACTAAACAATTTATTCTAATCCCCCAGAGATACTGCGGCCCAAACAAATAAACAAACACAACAAAAGAGAATAAATATGTATTTCTTCCCAAACAGTAGGAATGTGTGAGAGAGAGAGGAGGTGGGAGACAGAGGGGGTGCAAAGAAAGAGTGAGTTTATGGTTTTCATATTCAAATGTAGCTCCTGTTTTGTTGTTGTTGGTTGTTTTTCCTCACTGAGAAAGAGTGAGAAAGAGACAGAGAGAGAGAGACGGAGAGACGAGAGAGAGAGAGAGAGAGACGGATCTCGGTGGCCAAAACACATACACACAAGATATATGCACACACATGCTATCCAAAGTAATTTGTAACCTTCTCTTAGGTGGCAGCAGGCACGAATACACAACACACACTCATGCACAAAGTACAAGTACACATGCTCACTGTTCAGCTACACACACACACACAGTTGAATTATTAACTCTATTTTATGTCTACGTCAATATGAAGGAGGCAACATAAACAACGTGGATGCAATCAGAAAATGTTCTGCTTGATACAAACGTGTTCAAACACACACACATGCAAATGTAGACTGCAGATGGATGTACGCATGGATGCACTCGGTCATATGCACATATGGTGTACATACACACACACACATACACACTCATCACAAGTCATTTCCACATCGTTGCCATCCATCCTCTGAATGTACCATATCTGCAGCAGAGCCTCCGCACTCACACTCAGTCAGGATGACCGGGCGCTTTCCAACCTTTATTTCTCCAGAGGAATTTGTTCACGTTGATAAAATTCACACATGGGAGCCGCCCAGAGCAACCACATTCTCCCACTGTCAGCCACAGAGCAGATCCGCAGCTCAGACCCGTGGGGAAGGAAGGATCATGGATTTTACTCTCTCTCTCTCTCTGCTGATCTGAGGATTTAAACCAGCAACCTCACAGCTCACCCTGACTTTGTCCATCACACATATCCTCCAGACTGCATCCACTGTCCTTCCCCCATCACCCCCGATCCACCTACTGCACCAGAGACATGGGCCAATTGTCATATTCTTTAACTACAGCTATTCTACAGCTTTCAATTGTCATTTTCACACCTCCGGCTCTTACTGCACCTCCAGCAGTCGGATCAGGGGCAATCCCCTTATGTACTGAGGCTTTCTAGGGCTTTTTCTCTGTATTTTAAGGGAACTTGTGCTCAGTCAGGGAGCCAGTAAATCCCATAGAGTTCTGCAGGAATGAGTCCTAA